GATGAAGGAGAGAGAGAGAGAGAAAGAGGTATTCTATCTGCTGGTTCACTCTCCAAATGGCCACAATGGCCAGGGCTGGGCCAGGCCAAAGCCAGGAACCAGGCGCATCATCAGGTCTGCCATCTAAGTGTAGAGGCCCAAGCACTTGGGCCATCTTCTGCTGCTTCCCAGGAATATTAGCAGAGAGCTAGATTGGCAGTGGAGTAGCCTAGTCTCAAACAGGCGCCCACATGGAATGCCCGTGTTGCAGGTGGCAGCTTAACCCGTCACACCACAGCACTGCCCCCAAGTAGACACCACTTACTTGCTTACAAACATCTAATGTCTTGAGCACCAAAAATTTTCACTAGTGGTTTTGAGATCTTTGACTATAACAAAGCTTTCCTGCAGAAGTATCTCGTGATCGTTCTTATTCAGTCTCAAATGTAGAAGTTTTGTTTTCAAAAAAAATGCAAAAGACAGAAAGAAAAAAATATATAAAATATTTTCAATTACATGGTTTTGGGAACATGTCCTTGAAGTGGTTATGCATAAATATAGATGTTCCAAAGACCTGTTGAGGCCCTGGATTATCTCTTTCCCAAATGGAAGCCAGTGGAAGCTGCTGCCAGGAAACTGCTCAAATTGCTGACTTTCTCTGTTCTGGGGATTTTTCCACCCAGAGTAAATGCATTTGAAAAGAGCCTCTGGACTTTGGTTTAGTTGTCTTAAGTGACTTTGAGCCAGTTATCTTTGGAAACATCTGGACCTGACTTTGGACCTCCTGTCAAAGTTAATTCACCTTTCTTTCTCTCTCTCTTTCTCTCAAAAGGGGAAATCTGGGAATGCTTTTTTGGTGTTGAGTACAATTTACTCAGTGCAAGATCCAGACTTGACTAAGATTTGCCCAATTGCTATGTTGTTTCAGTCCTCTGGAGGGGCTTCCTGCCATGGTCAAGGAAAGCGACATCATAGCCCATCACAGGAGGGGTCAGAGCCCTCCAGGTCTCTGTGCATGCAAATGAGAACAACTTTCTTTAACTCAACCAACATTTTCTTCAGTTTCACTGACTTTGATGGGCTTTGCTCTGTGCAAGGAGGCTGGCACACATTCGCCCCAGGGAGATGCTTCCAGAAAGATCCTTAAAGATTTATAGATAGACATTATTGGCGAAGACAAAGCTTTTTTTTTTTTTTTTTTTTAATTTTTTGACAGGCAGAGTGGACAGTGAGAGAGAGAGACAGAAAGGTCTTCCTTTGCCCTTGGTTCACCCTCCAATGGCCGCTGCAGCTGGCACGCTGCGGCCGGCGCACCGCGCTGATCCGATGGCAGGAGCCAGGTACTTCTCGTGGTCTTCCATGGGGTGCAGGGCCCAAGGACCTGGGCCATCCTCCACTGCACTCCCGGGCCACAGCAGAGAGCTGGCCCGGAAGAGGGGTAACTGGGACAGAATCCGGCGCCCCGACCCGGACTAGAACCCGGTGTGCCGGCGCCGCTAGGCGGAGGATTAGCCTAGTGAGCCGCGGCGCCGGCCAGAAGACAAAGCTTTTAAGGAGGAAAATCCCACCACCCAACCGTAAATGCCTAAGCTCCCCCGCCATGAGCTTCCAGCCCTGGTGCCTGACCTACAGCACAATCTCCTTGACGTTCAGCAGCACAGACGGGCTCCTGTGCACATTTCCATGGACACTGTCATTGAGAGCTGACCCTGACGTTAGTCGTCCTGGATGCCAGGATGAAGTGACAGAGTAGGTCGTGATGGGCCATGGAGTGACTCCCTCTGGGCCTCTATTTTTATTTTTCTTTAACGATTTTATTTATTTGAAAGTCAGAGTTACACAGAGAGAAGGAGACGCAGAGAGAGAGAGAGTCTTCCATCTGCTGGTTCACTCCCCAGTTGGCCTCAACAGCTGGAGCTGCACCAATCTGAAGCCAGGAGCTTCTTCCAGCTCTCCCACATGGGTGCAGGACCTAAGGACTTGGGCCTTCCGGTACTGCTTTCCCAGGCCATAGCAGAGAGCTGAGTAGGAAGTGGAGCAGCCAGGTCTCAAACCAGCACCCATATGGGATGCCAGCACTGCAGGCAGCGGCTTTACCCACTATGCCACAGCACCAGCCCCGCTCTGGCCCTTTAATGATGCAGTACTGCAAAGCTCTTTCTCGAAACTTGTCGCAGCTGGCATTTCGTCCCAGTCGGAACACCCAGAGATGCACCTCTCTCTGTGCTTTGAGTAAATGGTAGAATACTCTTGCACTTGCTCTCTCAAAGAGGTGAAATGCACACAGTAAACTCAGAGGAAGGATCCAGGAAGGAACTTGGGATCTGATTTCAAACCTTGGTATGCAGGTGGTGTTTCCTGCCTTGGCTCAGTGAGTCGACACATACCTGAGCCAGTGGTTCTGAGGAATCCATCAGCCGTGTGCAAAGGGGAGCCGTTGCTGTCACCATGGAAACCGTTTCTGCTCTTTAGACAGAAGTGCTACCAGCAGGCAGGCAGTCCAGGCAATATAAGCACTTGAACTTCTTCATGGTGAATGACTCCAATAGTATGGCTGAAATTTGGTGGAAACCAATGACCAAAACTCAGAGCTAAATTTACAGTCCTGCGATCCCTAAAGAATGTGCTTGTGCTTCCCAGCAGTCTCCCCTCTGTAGATGGATATCTTATTTTCTTTTTTTCTTTTGAAGACTTCATTTAGTGCAGCTTTAGTGTCACAACAAAACTGAGAAGAGGGTACAGTGAACATCCTTTTCTTTTCTTTTTTTTTGGACAGGCAGAGTGGACAGTGTGAGAGAGAGACAGAGAAAGGTCTTCCTTTACTGTTGGTTCACCCTCCAATGGCTGCCGCAGCCAGTGTGCTGTGGCCGGCGCACTGCACCGATCTGAAGCCAGGAGCCAGGTGCTTCTCCTGATCTCCCATGCGGGTGCAGGGCCCCAGGATTGGGCCATCCTCCACTGCACTCCCCGGCCACAGCAAAGAGCTGGACTGGAAGAGGAGCAACCGGGACAGAATCCGGCGCTCCGACCGGGACTAGAACCCTGTGTGCCAGCGCAGCAGGTGGAGGATTAGCCTAGTGAGCCGCGGTGCTGGCCCCTTTTCAATTTCTTTTGTTTTCAACATAATTATTTGAGGTTTAGGATCAAAATGGTATGTCTGACTCCAAGAAATATCTATAGCTGGGCCCCTGCGCCCACGTGGGAGACCCAAAAGAAGCTCCTGGCTTCGGATCAATACAGCTCTGGCTGTTGAGGCCATCTGAGGAGTGAACCAACAGAAGGAAGACCTTTCTCTCTGTCTCTCTCTCTCACTGTCTGTAATTCTGCCTCTCAAATAAATAAATAAATCTTAAAAAAAAAAAAAAAATGGGGCCAGCGCTGTGGCGCAGTGGGTTAACGCCCTGGCCCGAAGCACCAGCATCCCATATGGGCGCCGGTTTGAGACCCGGCTGCACCTCTTCCGATCCAACTCTCTGCTATGGCCTGGGAAAGCAGTAGAAGATGGCCCAAGTGCTTGGGCCCCTACACCCATGTGGGAAGACTGGGAAGAAGCTCCTGGCTCCTGGCTTCTGGTTGGCACAGCTCCAGCCATTGCGACCATCAGGGGAGTGAACCAGCAGATGGAAGACCTCTCTCTCTCTCTTTCTCTCTCTCTGCCTCTCTCTAACTCTGCCTTTTGATTAAATAAATAAATCTTTAAAGTAAAAATTCATTCTTCCCTCCAACGGACACTGGTGCAGCATCTTCAAAGAGAAGGAGGGGCGGGTACATCTGGCAGGAGACTGACCAGTATTTGTCACAGGAGTTGAAATCTGAGATGAGAATAGAAAGCAGCCCTTCTCCTAAGGCGATTTCCCCTAAGAGCTAGATCAGAACCTTCATGACAGTCCAGGGAGCAGACCGCAGAGGGCAGGTTCCAGAGGGATGAAGACATAGTGATGGATGCCCTGGGTGGAGAACTGGCAGGCTTCCTTCATTCATTTCACAAGCAAGGTGCATTGTTTGCTCTCTCAGTCTCAGCTTCCCTGACAGTAAAAGTGAGTGAGGAAGGGAATTGGACTAGGTGGTTATTAAGGGTCTGACCACATAGGGCAGGCACAGCAGGTTCATCCACTGCCTGCGATACTGGCATCCCATATAAACACCAGTCTGAGTCCTGGCTGTTCCACTTCCAATCCAGCTCCCTACTGATGTGCCTGGGAAAGCAGTGGGAGATGGCTCAAATACTTGTGCCATTGCCATTCACAAGGGAGACCTGGGTGGAGTTCCAAGCTCCTGGCTTTGGCCTGACCCAGCCCTGGCTATCGTGTGGTCATTTGGGGAGTGAACCAGCAGATGGAAGATCTCTCTCTCTTTCTCTCTCTCTCTAACTTTGCCTTCCAAATTTAAAAAAAAAAATGTGTTTGTTTGATTTTTTTTAAAAAGGACCTGTCTTCATGGAACATTCCATGAGCTCTATGATCTGGAACTTTTCAACAGCTTTGCACTCACCTAACTTTGCCTGCTACTCAACAAATATTTGTGACATGAATTAATGAACTAGAGCAATATTTCCAAAACCTTTATTATTCCAATACCAGCATACAATTGTTATCATTTCTGCTTACTTAATACTTGTATTTTTCTTTGAAACACTATTCTTTTGTTTGAATTTATTTTAAAGGGAAATTACCACTTTTCATAAATATTTTCATGAATCCTTTTATTAAATATCAAAAACTTCATGGTCCCCAGCATATGTTTAATGATCTTCTCCCGTTTCTTAGGGACTTATGGACATAAACTGTGATTGTTCTCAAATCAAACAAAAATAGATGGGTACCCTTTTTGGAAAGATAGATTTTACATCATCACAACAAATGTGCTGTGGGGGTGTTTGCAAGGTTTCTGGGCGATTTTAGCCCCCAAATTGTGCCTTGTTGCTGTTCGTGGCAGCTACCCAAGAGCAAAGAAAGACCTGCCTGTTTGACCTGCCTGAGATGAAGTCCAGGAATACTTACTGGGATTTGTTTCTGCCTCAGGAGATATTACAAAAAAGGATCAGGACACCTCCCCCCAATTTTGAAGTAGACTACAAAGAAACCTGTCTTCCCCTCGGAACTGGGGAAAGCTCTAGAGCTGTTCCAACACGGTTTCAAAACAAAACCAAACCAAGCAGGTAATACTGGAATTTTGTAAAACTGTTTTGCATAGAGAAGACAAGGCAATACAAGACTCTTTAATTGACCTGTGGGTCCTGTGGGCCTAGTATTTCTACCCCCTTGCTTATTTTTTCAAGAAATAAAAATTAGATCCAGCCTAGAGAAAGTAAGTCTTTGTGATTTTGGCTAGTGGCAGTGTTAATAACCGTTGAAAAGAAATGGAAGAGGAACAAAATAGGGCTATTAAGTTTTTTTTTTTTTAAAGATAGATTTTATTTATTTGGAAGACAGAGTGACAGAAGAAGAGGAGAGAAAGGGAGAGAGAATCTTCTATCCGCTGCTGGTTCACACCCTAAATGGTGTTCCTTCTATTAAGGAACATATTTTCAGGTATGTATTTTTATTAATTTATTCAGTTGATTATCACTTGTACTTCACCTGAAGTTTAATTTTTTAATTTAAAAAATTAATAGCACTGGGGCCAGCGTTGTGGTATAGTGTGTTAAGCTGCAGCTTGCGACAGTGGCATCCCGTATCTGAATGCCGATTTGAGTCTTAGCTCCTCCACTTCTGATCCAGCTCCCTACTAGTGCACCTGGGAAGGTAGTGGTGGATGGTCTATGTACCTGGGTCTCTGTCACCCATGTGGGAGGCCCAGAGGAAGCTCCTGGCTCCTGGCTTTGGATCGGTCTTGCTCGGACCGCAAAAGCCATTTGGGGAGTGAACCAATGAATGGAAGATCAATTACCCTTCTCTGTCACTCTTTCAAAAATGAATAAATAAAATCTTTAAACAAAACATTTTTAGACATTAAGACCAGATGTGTATGGAGGAGTGGCCACTACTTTGGCAGACCTCAAAATATGGACCATGCAGCGAAATTCCTAAGGAAGAGATCACAGTAGAAGTTTTTCTTTAGGAATAGAGGTGGAGGTGGGGTCAGCGAAGCCAGTCGAAAGTGAGGCTGAATAGAGAACTGTTGGTTTCGGTTATAAGTGCTTTCTTTCATTCTAAGTGTGTTTATTCTGTAGCTATTTTTCCTTTCAAGCTCTGTAAAATTTTATTTTGACAGTGACTTAACTAGTTTTCCCTGAGTTATGGGAAGATAGGTTTTGATTTAGCAGAGGGAAGTCCGCTTAGAGCAGCAAGGTTTGTCCGAGAGGTGCTAGAGCAGCATTCGTATTGAGCTCCTGCTGTCTGCCAGGCACCCTGTCTCCAGCCTCAGGGGCCAAGCGCCAGGACCCATTCCTCCAGCCTGAGATGCCATTACCAGGTTGGTGTGTTCGAGTCAGAGTAGTGACGATCCCTTGGGAACTAGGACGAGGAGGACCATCGTGGAGCTGGGTGGAGCACTGCTGTGGGTTATGGGGAGAGCTCCAGTCCAAGTTTCTCTTGCCCCCATGCTAGGGCTCTCGGCTGCCTCCCTCCAGCTCCTGCTGGTGCCTCCCTCTGCTGATGGGTGTGTAGGCAGAGAAAGGGGGACATCCCTTGAGGGTCAGCCACCTTGATTGCTGTTTGGGCACTGCCTCCTCAGACTCCCCAGCAGTCCTGAGGAGTGGTCTCTCCAGGTGGTAGTGTTAGGTAGGAAGTCAGATATGAGCTTATGTGTGTGTGACAAAGGCCTGAAGAGTTGACATCTAGGTCCAGCATATGCATCTCAAAGTCATCCCAATAACCTTCCAGGGCAGCCCAGTATTTGCATCCTGCCCTGCCCCTTCTACCTGACAACCTGCCAGGTGGGGGTCCCCATCCCTTCTGCCTGATAATCTTCCAGCTGCAGCCCAGTATCTGCATTTAAAATATCCTGCTCCAGATCCTGATCCTCCAGCGGGTCCTGCCCATCCTTCCTCTAACTGGGGTAGACGCCAGCCAGGCTTCCTCCTGTCTGATAACTTCAGGGGGAAAACTCAGATAGGAATTTTTCGTATTTACATCCAAAAAGTCTTTTGTTTCAGGAGGAGAAGATGTGGGAAGACAAGACCCATCCCCTTAAAAACCCCTGGCCTCAACCAGACTGTGTGCTCTGCCCTCTGCCTCTATGCTGAGGCACTGCCTGGCCTAGCCAGGTGTACTCTCTCCACTCAACCATGTAACCCCGCTCTCCCCCAGTCTGAGCGACTGGGCACTCTCTCTCAGGTTCTGTCTAGAGAGGTGCCCATCCGTTCTTAAAGATGTCCCTGTTCTAATAAAGCTTGCTATTTGCTTTCTACTTACTCTCTGTCTCACACCTCAAGACAAGGACCCTGCCATTCTCCAGTAACAGTAGTTCCCTGGGAAGTGGTCAGTGCAGGCACCTGCCCACCAGCAGGGTGGCCTCTCCAACTCCTTGCTACCAGCCTGTGATGGACATGTCACGCATGTCCCCTCTGACCTGTGTGAGGATGCTCAGTGTGACTGCTCTCCCACCCGCAATGACTGTGTTCCCACATCCTGTCAACGCTTGTCATTATTGTGTGTGCATGTGTGTTTGCCACGAAACAGGCGTAAAGCGATAGTGCCCTGTTTTTCTATCAATGACACTAGGTATGTTTATACATTATCCTCCAATGAGAAGAACTGCCACACTTTCTAAAAAAATGAACGAAGTTTGAGGACTCGCCCTACTTGACTTCAAAATATACCATAAATCCAGGTGGGTGTTGGGAAAAGATGGATGCAAAGATCAGGAGTTCGGAGTAGATGGCCCTGAAATAAACCCTCACATAAATGACCAGTGGACCATTTGATGGTGTGTGATTCCATGGCCTCTGGCACATTCACGGTGCTGTGCAATCTCTATCAAACCTCAGAGCACCTTCATCCCCTTCAGAGGAGGCTCTGTAATGGTGAAGCCCTCGCTCCCCCATCTCCCCTCCCACATGATTGATTGGTTTTTGACAAAGTTGCCAAGTCACAGCGAAAGGAGAGTATTTTCAATGTGTGGCGCTGCAGTTACAGGATATACAATTGGGTGGGAAGAAAAAGAACATCAATCCTTACTTCATACCATATACAAAATTTAACTGAAAAAAAGATTATAGACTAGATACTAGAAGAAATAGTGAAGAAAATCTTTGCAATCTAAGGGTAGGCACATTTTTTCCCCTAAGATTTATTTTATTTATTTGAAAGACAGTTACAGAGAGAGGGAGAAATGGAGAGAGAGGTCTTTCATCTGCTGGTTCACTCCTCAGATGGTTGCAATGACTGGAGTTGCGCTGATCCGAAGCCAGGAACCTGGAGCTTCTTCCAGGTCTCCCAAGCTGGTGGAGGGGCCCAAGGACTTGGGCCATCTTCTACTTCCACTGCTTTCCCAGGTTCATTAGCAGGAAGCTGAATCAGAACTGGAGCAGCTGGGACTCAAACAGGCGTCCATGTGGGATGCCGGCACTGCAAGCTAGGGCTTTAACCTGCTGTGCCACAGTGCCAGGGTAGGCACATCTTTTTTTTTTTTTTTTTTAAGAATTATTTATTTGAAAGACAGAGTTACAGAGAGAGAGAAAGAGGGAGAGAGGTCTTCCATTCTGTTGATTCACTCCCCAAATGGCCATAATGGCCAGAGCTGAGCTGATCCGAAGCCAGGAGCCAAGAGTCTCTTCCAGGTCTCCCATGTGGGTTGGGGAGCCCAAGGAATTGGGCCATCCTCTACTGCTTTCCCAGGCCACAGCAGAGAGCTGGATCAGAAGAGGAGTTGCTGGGACTTGAACTGGTGCCCATATGGGATGCCAGCACCACAGACTGGGGCTTTAACCTGCTGCGCCATAGTGCTGGCCCCATAGGCACATCCTTTAAAACTAGAATACAAAAAGCACAAACCATAATGGAAAGGTTTCCAAATTGGACCGTATCAACATGAGAAAGCTTTGCCCTTCCAAAAACACCATTAAGAAAAGAAAAAGGTGGGGCCAGCACCGTGGCTCACTTGGTTAATCCTCTGCCTGCGGTGCCAGCATTCCATATGGGCGCGGGGTTCTAGTCCCGGTTGCTCCTCTTCCAGTCCAGCTCTCTGCTGTGGCCCGGAAAGGCAGTGGAGGATGGCCCAAGTGCTTGGGCCCCTGCACCCGCATCGGGGACCAGGAGGGGGCACCTGGCTCCTGGCTTCGGATCAGCGCAGCGCTGGCTGTAGCGGCCATTTGGGGAGTGAACCAACGGAAGGAAGACCTTTCTCTCTGTCTTTCTCTCTCACTGTCTATAACTCTACCTGTCAAAATAAAATAAAATAAAGAAAAGAAAAAGACAATCTATAGACTGAGAGCAAATATTTACAACACAGAGAGCAGATGAGACCTGCATGCAGAAGAGATCAATAATTTGTACAAGTCACGAATAAAGACAACTCCATTTTAAAAGACACAAAAGATTGGGACGGACACATCACAAAAGAAGATACATGAATGACTAAGGTAAACCAGGCAAACAAAAATTGTGAGATGCCGCTACAAATCGGATAGTATGACTAAAATTAAAGATTTAACTAAACCAAGTGCTGGGACCGGAGCTGGGGCATAGTGGTTAAGCCACTGCCTGCAATGCTGTGTCTTGGCTACAATGTTTGTGTCTTGGCTGCCAAGGGCCTGGGAGAAGCAGCAGAAGATGGCTCAAGTGCTTGGGCACCTGTCAGCCATGTGGGAGACCTGGAAGAAGCTCCTGGCTCCTGGCTCCTGGCTTCGGCCTGGCTCAGCATGCCTGTTGCAGCTATCTAGGGATTGAACCGCAGATTGGAGATCTCTCTCTTTCTCTCTCTCTGTCTCACCCTCTCTCTGTAAACTTTCAGATAAATAAACAAATCTTAAAAAAAAATGAGAAAACTAATCAAGTCCTGGCAAGAGGTAGAGCAGCCGGAGCTCTCATACGCTGCTAGTGGCAATGCAGAATTGTACAACCGGTTTGGAAAGGTGTACCACAGGACCTCGCCATTCCATTTCTACCATTTTTACCCCAAAGTAGTAGAAACAAACATCTAAACAAAGGCATGTACATAGATACTGATAGCTGCATTATTTGTAATATCCCCCCTGAATGTTTATCAACAGATAAATGGATAGACAGATTGAGGTATATCCATACGATGGAATACTACTCAGCAATGAAAAGGAAAAACTATCAATAACATGGATGAACTTCAAAATTATTCTGTGTGAAATAAACCAGAAAACAAAGAATGTAAGCTAGGTGATTTTATCCATACAAAATTCTTTATGTGATGGAAAGCAGATCAGTGGTTATTTGGGACAGAGGTGGAGAGAAGGATGGATTGCAAGGGTGCTCTGGGTTGAATCTATCCTGTCAAATTTCAGATACTGAAGTCCTAATCTCTGTGGTGGTGGCATCAGGAGGTGGGGCCTGAGGGAGGTGGAGCCTTCGTGAATGGCATTGGTGCCCTTGCAGAAGAGACCCCAGGGAGCTCACTGACCCTCTGCGGACCGAGAAGACGACTGTCTCCAGAGAAGTGGCCCTCACCAGACACCTTGATCCTGGACTGCCCAGCTTCCAGAACTGTAAGAAACACGTTTCTGTTGTTAATGAGCCACCCCGTCTCGTATTCTGTTATAATAGCCTGCATGGACCGAGTCAGAGTGGCAGGAGGAAGCTCTGGGTGATGGAGGAGTTCATATCTTGATCGTAGCAGTGGTTTCTCAGGGGTTACACTAGGTCAAAACTCATCAAGTCGAACCTTTTAGATATGGGGAGCTTCCCTTACATTCATTAGCCCTCACTCAGGTGGTAAACATGATTTCTCGTTCTTGCGGTACATTTTTCCACTCCTTGCTGTGTTGAGTTCATTTCCATGCAGTCCTTGATTGGTTGAGGCCAGCACTTTTGCTCCAGATGTTGACACCATCTTCTACCTCCCTGTGCTGTGTTGCGTTCCTCAGCTGGCTAATTAGATTGGTCTGTGAGCCCGGGTTCCCTGGTGGAGCTGCTCTCTGTGGTGGTGTTTAGGGGGAAGAGGAGAGAATAAGCCCAGAGTCGTAGACCCCCAGGCTCTACAGAACCACCTTTGGTCCTTGCACCTTTCTGGAAGGAATTCATCCTCTGGTCAGGAATTTCCTTTGAATTTCTAGGAACAGCAGCACTGGGAAGAGCCACTCTCTCTGGGGAGTCCTCTCTATCTCTCTTCATTTTTCTCTTCTTTTTTCTTCCCTGCTGGGCTGAACTTGCTGCTGCTTGCTCAGGAGAAGGGGTAGGCAATGATTATCCAAGAGGGCACCCTGGGGGAGGCAGTAGCTGGCCTTCCAGGCCTGTCCTCCAGCCTGTCCTCCCTGCCCCCTTCATCAGCTCTTCACCCGCGTGCAGGCTCTGCCCTCTCGGCTCCAGGTCCACCCCTGGAGTTCCAGACAGACTGTATCTCCCCAGAGACCATTTTGTTTGGCAAGTCCCTCAACTCCACCGTTCCATTTCACTTAAGTGATTCCTCCAGAACGGATTTTGGGAGAGGAAGAAAGCACTCAGTATTACTTTGCCAGCTGAATAAGTACTCCATAATTTATTGATCTGATTTAGAACCATTTGCTGTGCTTTGTAGAGACAGTCCAGATCTGAAGAGCATGTTCCGCACACAGTAAGAGAATACTGCTGTGAATAGGATGTGGCTCCCACACCGTTCAATCCCAACATCGTAAATTGATGTTACTTGGAGGATGAAAACCTTTTTTAAGATTTATTTACTTATTTGAAAGACAGAGTCACAGAGAAGCAGAAAGAGCGAGGGAGAGAGAGAGGTCTTCCATCCGCTGGTTCACTCCCCAGATGGCCACAATGGCTGGAGCTGTGCTGACCCAAAGCCAGGAGCCAGGAGCTTCCTCCAAGTTTCCCATGTGGGTGCAGGGTCCCAAAGACTGGGGCCATCCTCCACTGCTTTCCAGGCTGTAGTAGAGCTGGATTGGAAGTGGAGCAGCCAGGACCCGAACTGGTGCCCAAATGGGATGCTGGCACTGCAGGCAGTGGCTTTACAGGCTACTCCACAAGGTGGGCCCAGAGGATGAAAACTTAATCCGATTGTGATGCTTTGGAGGTAGGCCTTGTCGGGGGGCCTCAGAGAACTTAGTTCATTTTCAAGAGAGGAGTGGCTATAAAACTGAGTTCAGCCCAGACGCTCTCTCTGCTTCCAGATTCACGGTGTGATCCATGCTCGGCCTCAGCAGAGGCCACATTAGTGGGCCTGCGAGATCTTGGACTCCAACACCGTGAGCCAAAATGTACCCTTTTCCTTCATGGGTCTCAGTGCTGACAAACTGACTAGTACGAAGTACTGAAGACAAGAAGATCTACAGAAAAGTGGAAAGTAGCTTGCTGATTCAAAAGCCAGAAAAATAGGGGCTGGCGCTGTGGCGTAACAGGTAGGGCAGCCATCTGCAGTGCTGGCATCCCATATGGGCACTGATTCAAGTCCCAGCTGCTCCACTTCCAATCCAGCTCTCTGTTACAGCCTGGGAAAGCAGTGGAAGATGGCCCAAGTCCTTGGGCCCCTGCACCAGCTTGGGAGACCTGGAAGAAGCTCCTGGCTCCTGGCTTAAGATTGGCACAGCTCCGGCCGTTGTGGAATGAACCATCGAATGGAAGACCTCTCTCTCTCTGCCTCTCCTCTTTCTGTATAACTCTGACTTTCAAATAAATATTTAAACAAACAGACAAAAGCCAGAAAAATAAAGAACTTTTACATGTCTTTTGACAGATGCTTTGGAACAGCATCCAATTGAGCTGGTATTTGGTGAATGTGAGTGGATGGCATTACCATGTCCTGAGTGAAGGGGAAATTGAAAGACACAGAATTTTAAATGCACTCGAATGTAAACGCATTCAGATAAATTCAAATCAGTGTATGTTGCACTAAACTAGCTCCACTGGCCTCCTGGTTGAATTCTGAGTGTACTAAGATTTTTCCTGCTTTGGGATCTCTGTACTTCCTGTTCCATTTACCTGGAACCTACCTGTCCTGAATCGTCTCAGGTTTTGCTCCTTCTCAGTCCTCTGAACTATTCTCAAATTTCACCTTTCTAGAAAAGGTTTCTACCACCACCATATCCCAAAACACCCTTTCTCAGTATTCATCATTCTTTTTTTTTTTTTTTTTTTTAACAGGCAGAGGGGACAGTGAGAGAGAGAGAGAGACAGAGAGAGAAAGGTCTTCCTTTTTGCCATTGGTTCACCCTCCAATGGCCGCCGCGGCTGACGCGCTGCGGCTGGAGCACCGCACGGATCCGAAGGCAGGAGCCAGGTACTTATCCTGGTCTCCCATGGGGTGCAGGGCCCAAGCACTTGGGCCATCCTCCACTGCACTCCCGGGCCATAGATGAGAGCTGGCCTGGAAGAGGGGCAACCGGGACAGGATCCGGCACCCCAACCGGGACTAGAACCCTGTGTGCCGGCGCCGCTAGGCGGAGGATTAACCTATTGAGCCGCGGCGCCGGCTCATCATTCTTTAGTTATTGCTTTGTTTTCCTTCACAGCACCTACCTGCCTCGGAGATTAGACTTGTATATGTATGGGTTTACTTATTTATGGTTTAGCTTCCCCCAACATGAGGCTGGAGGCTTCTCTTACCTTGTTCCCCGACACCTGGGGTAATGTAATACTTGGTGCATCGTAGGCCCTCAGTAAATATAGTTTATTCCACATCCACAGGTTCTGCATACATGGATGCAACAAACCACAGAGTGAAAATATTTGTGGGGGGAGCAATTGTTTTGCATAACAATTAAGATGCCTCTTAGGATACCCACATCCCATATCAGAGTGCCTGGGTTCCAAGTCCTGGCTTTGCTTCTGGTTTCAGCTTTCTACTAATGCGCACCCTGAGAGCCAATAGGTGATGGCCCAAGTAAGTGGGAGAACTGGATTGAGTTCTAGGTGCCTGACCTAGGCCTGGTCCAGGCATGACTATTTCAGGCATTTGGGGAATGAACCAGGAGATGGAAGAGCATGGCACGCCGTCTCTCACAAATTAAGTTTTTACAAAATATTTTTTAAAAAATTTACACCTGTGTTGAACATGTACAGACTAACCTGTTAATTATGCAGTATAATAACCATTTACATAACATAGTTATATTAGATATTATAAATAATCTAGAAATGACAAAGTATATTGGGGGATTGTGTAGGTTATATACAAATACTATGCCATTTTCTATAAGGGACTTGAAGTCCCAGATATTTGAGAATTTGCCCCTGAAACCCATCCCCCATGGATTCTGAGGAATGAACATAATTGTGAACAGATAACAAAATTCCCCCTATGCATTGCTGCTTCCGTCAGCTGTCCTATAATCTTCTGTATTATAATCTTCTCCAAAACTCAGTGACTTAAAACAAAAGTTTGTTACTTCTCACGGTTTGATGGGTTGACTGGGTGAACAGTCACCTGGCAGCTGTTCTGGGGATACGTGGCCTGAGAAGGCCTCCCTCACCTGTCTGGGGCCTGAGCTGGGACAGGTGGGTCTCTCTGCCTGGACTTGCAGCCTGGGCTTCTGTACTCAGTGGTAGAGACCTTCAAGAGGGCAAAGGTAGAAGCGGCAAGGCCGTGAGGTCTGGGTTCTGGAATGCCAAAAGTCATTCCACCATATTGGTCAAAGCACGTCACGCGGCTTCACCCAGAGACAAGCAGGTTGCGATGGGCAAAGCCGAAAATATTCTGGCTCTGCTTATCAGTGTACCTCACTGCTCCAAAGAAGCTTTCCCGGTTTGTTTAGCACCGGAGTTTCAGAAATCATCCGCCAGGGCCCAGCCCAGTCCCTGGCACCTGTAAGCCCACACCTTTGGTCAAATGAATGAATGAATGTCATCAGCGATTCCACCACTCTTCAACAGTGTACCACTCATCTAGACATCCTGGCTTAGGCTGCGCCCTAGTGGAATATGAGGCTTGGTACTTCCAGCCCGGGGCCTGGGAGAAAGAACTATATAGCACTCCAGGTTACGGGTTAGGGTAATGGTTCCCAAACTTTAGCATCAATGGGAGTTATACAGGGTATTGTACTGAGAATGAAATATCCCTGAGATCCATTCCAGGAAGTTTAGTGAGTCTGACCGGGACCAAATTCTCTGAGTCGGAGGTCTTTTATTAGGCTGTAATGAGGAGGTGCTGGAGGGTGAGGCTGTGGTACTGGGAACAGGACCTGAGTTTTAGGGCAGCAGGATATACACTGAAAAACAGATCTGCCACAGACTATTGCGAAACGTTGGGATATCCACTTAATATCTCTGCTTCTCAGTGCTGTCATCTGTAAAATGGGGTTCGTGTTACCAGGGTCATAGGGTTGTTGTGAGGTGACAATGATGCTTAGTTACAATGCTTGAGAGTTAGACCCTAACTGAGCAAGTGCAGGTTGCTATTATTGGTATACACTGTCAGTGTGTAGTAGGTGTTCAGTAAAATGTATGGTTTATGTTAGGGACTCAATAAACAGAAACAGCCCCACAAGAGCAAGCAAGAGTCATGCCCTGATTCCCAGGAACCGGTCGGTGTGTCCACAGTGGCTTGTAGCAGGTGTTCAAC